ACATCAGTAGAGCCACCGTAAGCATGTAGCGTATATCTACTCATTATTACTGCGCCAATTCCCCGGGGCCTTGTGTCGCTTCGCTGCAGCTTCCAGCTGCTGTATCAGCGCGACCCTCCCCAATGCGATATTTATTTTGGCGCCCGTACTGGCGATCAGGGAATATACTTCACCTGTAGCCTCTCCCACTCTTCGTCTTCTGTCTCTCGCCAGCAGGTAGTCGACGCAATGAATGCAAGGCCGCGGAGCGCGCGCCTTGCACCCGGGGGAGAAATCCTATTTGAGGATGCTATGAACTACCTGCGTTCACATGTCAGGGCAACTCTTTGTCATAGCCATAGCCGTTTTCACACTGGCGATCCGTACTTAAACAAGAAGAAGGGTACTACAGGTTATCTCACATCTGGTCCGGCACCCACCATCACCAGTGACATGAATGTAATCATTGATGTCACTCACAGGCATGAAAGCCCTAACGCGCCTGTCCATAGATATTTCACCACAGTGGAGGCTGCCAGGGCATCATCGTTTACTCCCGATTGTCTACAACGCCTACAGTCGATGGATGAAGAGACTGCCAGGAAAATGATTTCAAATGCAATTCCTAGGTTTATGCTCACAGCAGTGTACCTCACCGTATGTACACACATACTCGGAGGTGACATGTCAACACACAGTCTGTCCGCTTTCCTACATATACATGCTCGACCACTGATGTGTTTGGGTGCTCATACTGAACTATCTTCTTCTGACGTAAGGGATAACATCTCAGACAGCAGGAAACACCGCAAGAAGAAGCATGCACCCAAAGCGCCTACTTCAGGATGGCGCCCATGTCCATCCCCAACGTCTAAGGAATATGCCGATTCCAAGTTCGCAGTGGACCTTTACCACAAGACAACACACAGATCCTGGCAACAGATAGAAGCGACATTGAAGCAGGCACCACACTAGGTTTCGATCTAAAACCAGGCGACAGCCGAATGATGAGTCCCTGTGCAGACTGTGAAGCAAACCAGAGTCAAATCCGAATTCCCAAACACAGTGACAGGTGGCATGAAAATGAAACCAATCATCTACCTATCCAAACCAAACTTGATAGACCAATTTTCATCTCCTTTCCTAAAAGGTGTAGACATTAGGTCTGACTTGCTGAAAAGCATACAGGACAAGTTTCCAGACTCCAAGCTGGGAATCCGATTGCTCAGATCCCTGTATGGCCTTAAACAGGCACCTATGTTATGGAATAAACTTTTGAATTCAGTCTTACTAGAAGCTGGCTTCATTCGCAGCAAGAATGATACCAGTCTCTACATACATCATCATGAAGGTAAATGGGTTGCGTGTGCCGTATTTGTTGATGACATCTTGGTGACGGGGACTGACGTCAGCAAAATAGCGGAGCTGCGGAAACTGTTCCAAGAGAAATTCAAAGGAGAGCATCAATGGGATGAGAACATTAACTCCTTCCTGGGCATGGATATCTCGTATACTGACGGTGTACTCTCTATGAACGTCAAGGCCAAGATTGATGACTTGTTTAAGAAGTATCCTTTCCTAGCTAGCAGCAATCGTTGGTCTCAATCAACCTCTTCATCTGAAATCGACAACCCTCCGAGTTTAGATGATGACGAACTGTCGGACTATCAACTGCAGCTGAAGGAAAACTTCGCTAGCATAGTGGGATCCTGCATCTACTTCTCCATCACCTGCAGGCCTGATCTCTCCACCATTGTGTCCAAAGCATGCAAAGGCATGCATGGGCCAAAGAAAATTCACATACTTTATTTACAGGCCATGATTCAATACCTTAAGGAGCACAGGGACCTCAGTCTTGTGTATCGCAAGAATAGCAAAGCCATTAGTCATATTGGTTCCCTGGCCGCTGCCTTTCCGGAAATGAATGATGTCCCTAGTAGCCCAGTAGTGGGTTTCTCTGATGCCGATTGGCTGCCCAAGGCCTCAGATGGAGAGCAAATGAAAAGCACCTCCGGACACTGTTTCTATGTATTTGGTAGTTTAGTGCAGTGGAACTCAAAGCGTCAAACTATTACGGCAGCCAGTACAATGCAAGCCGAGCTGATTGCCGCGTCCTCGGCCGCTGACAGTGCCGTGTGGTATCATACTCTACAGTGCGATTTTCCATTTTTATTCGGTTTGAGCCAAGATATTCCAGCTATCCCTATCATGATTGACAATAAAGCTGCATTAAGCGTCGCAAACCATCCTGAATCCTCACCCAGAACAAGGCATATCTGTCTGAGAGAATTCCGTATAAGAGATATGCACGAGGCCAAGCAGGTACGGCCATACTGGTGCCCTGGCACCCATAATGTTGCAGACGTATTTACGAAGTTAGTACATAAAACATTGTTTCATAGATACTTGGATGTAATGGGAATGGAAGGTTCAAATCGATTGCATTCAGACTACCCATCACTACAGGGGACACACAGGTCCTTTATGTCAGAAGGACTGCTTAGTGAGTGGGTGGTGTCTCACAATTCACACATCGACGAGGACATAATATTTGAGTTGCGGAAGTCACTAGACTTCGAGTCCCCTCAGGCTGTGTACACCTGGGACTACTGGAATGCCTCGAGCGGTCAATTGCCTGACAATTATTGTAAAAATTTTGTATCATTACATTCCACTTCATTTTTGAATCCGCAGGAGTACAATCTCTGTGGCGATGGTCCTGTAAACACAAACATCCTCGAACACCATGGCTCTGACAACTCTTCCCCGTCCTCTCGTGCTAAGTTGAGTGTTGCTAAATTGCTTTACAAGCAGGGAATGGCAAAGAGAGCTACCAGGCTGGTGCAGGATCACCACCGCCGTGGACTGTCACCACCTGTTCCTTCCTGTCAGACTATAGTTGATGTAGACCCTTCGTTTGCAACACCTAACGCCCCATCTGCAGACTGGTCGCGCCTGTCTCGTGTAGTAGAATTGTTAGCTTGCGGTGCAATCTTATATCATGTCCTATATGCTTGAAGGCTCTGGTACAAAAATGCTCTACATGGATCTTCATTATTGGCTTACGATCCAGGGGGAGTAGAGAGATAGAGAGTTTTGTATCTAGAAAGTTAGGATAGTTTACTAGCTTCCTAACGTCGCTATGACGTCAGTCAAACTACTATCCAGCAGGTGCACTGTCCGGCGACTGTGCAACCTCGCTGAGCCTGGTGCTACCTGGCACGTCGCTGTGACGCTAACCAGACAGACACCACAGACACAGAAGAGCGCTATGCACTCTGTGCCTGCTTGGCAGTCACTCCTTCAGTTCGCTGTCTATAAGACTCGAAACTGGATTAGAATGAATTAAGGAAGGGAAGGGAAAACTAGCAGGATACGCAGTAGGAGCGCAGTGGGGTAAGGTGCACTGCAACATCAAGATGCAGTTCACTGTTCACTGAAGATGAAGATAGAAATCTCTCTATCTCTCTACTCCCCCTGGATTGAAACTCCGTGTAAATCCCAAATGATAGTGGACTTCAGCTTCATCATGAATGGAGTCAATTAAGCGAATGAAGTAGATGGGAATCGAGTATCTGCTAAGTACACGTTCTTCAGAAGACCTTCCTTGATATGTGTGAGTTAAAAGATTGATACACTCAACCAGTGTGATTACTTTGGGGATTGCTCATGACCCAAAGAAATACTATGCTCAACATGACACATTCGATACAAGTAGCCAAGGAAGCGTACTTATGATCGGTTAGTACAAACGGTGAGGTTATGTTAGATGTAGGTTGACAGTATGGAACGGGTGGAGAGAGTCCACGCCTGCGATGATCTTGCACCAATCTAGTAGCTCTTCTAGCCATCTCTTGTCTATAGAGAGTCCGGGCAACAGTCAGTTTGGACTTCACTGAAGCGCTGGGTCCGTCTTGATTCTCATTGCTTGGTTGAGGATTCAGAAGTGAGACAGAGTGATGGACTAGTAAGTTTTCTGCAAACCATCCAGAGTCTGCGCCGGCATTATATTGTGTCCATAGGGCGGTGGCTACTTGTGAGTCAAAGCTGTGGGACGTCATCCACTTGTAAATACTTTTCTCTTCATCTGGGTCGACCTTTTCGCAGATGCATTCCTTAACGATGTCGTCTTCGTATTGGGGTGCTAGTAATGCATTTAAGGCTGGAAAAGGTGAGTGTATAAGGTTTGAGCCAGTCATCCCCATGACTGCGAGGAATCTGTGGTACAGAAGTTTAGGTAAAATTTTTGTAAACATGTCGGCCACGTTATGGGTGCCGGGGCACCAATATGGTCTAATTTGACCTGCTTCGTGAAAATCCCTGATGCGGAATTCTCTGAGACAGATATGTCTTGTTCTAGGAGACGATTCAGGGTGGTTCGCTACACTAAGGGCAGCTTTGTTATCAATGAGTAATGGCACTGCTTGCGCCTCTTGAATACCAAAGAGGATTGGGAAGTCCACTTGCAGAGTGTAGTACCAGACTCCACTATCCGCTCCACTTGAGGCAGCTATGAGTTCGGCTTGCATTGTGCTCCCTGCAGTGATTGTCTGACGTTTGGAAGACCATTGTACTAAGTTT